GCAAAACTTTTTATTTCTTTCACTTCCATTTCGCGTCGATAGATCAACAAAGAAATTATCGAACATATTTTTTTTATTAACTCCCCCTGTGTGTGTGGTGGTGTGTGAAGAGTATAACTCGGAAACTTTTCATCTGATTTTTTATCAAAGATTGAGTGTCCTACCAAGAACCAATTATTTAACTTTGGGTAAATGTAATTCGAAGGTCAGGGTCACATTAAAGGTAGCAAATCGGGATTTTGAAAAACAGTCAAAACTCGAGCACAAATTTAGGTAGAAAGATCATGTTGACGGTTAGAAATTCTGGTGCTGTATATCTTAGGTTGGTTACTGCAAAAGTTGAGGAGCGGGATTTGCACTCTCTATCTCTGAGTGTATCTCTAGTTGTATATATATATATGTTTGACTGACTGTGTGGGTGTTGGAACCAGGTTTTTTGTTGTTTTTTTTAAGATTATAACTTAGACGGGCTTACATTTTACCACGATATTACCAAACGTTTGGAGGGCTGAACTCAAATAAAACACGATTTGACAGGCACTTAATATGCTCGGAGATGGACTCGCTTTCGCCTTGGTGACATCTTTCGACGAAGAAATTGTATTCTTTAAAACCAGGTTCAAAGTTCTTTGTGGAAGATTTAAATTGGTGAATTTTTTTTTGCTTGTTCTCATTTCCTCCCCAAATGAATTGGATAATGATATAATATATATATTTGTTTTTAAACTTTACTTTAAGCATTTAGTCTAACGGCACATAATAGGTACATGTAATGTCTAAGCTCGTGGGCGCTGCTCGTGCATTACGTGTCATCTGTTGCACATGGCACAAGATGAGCACGTGGTCTAGATAATACTCAGTTTCGACGTTGAGGAGAGGGAATAAAGCTGGTTAACAAAATTACTGTTTGATCTGTAGCAACTGCCCAGAAAAGAACGTCAAAGAATAAATAGAATTTAGGGTTAAGCAAGTGTAGAGGAGCCAGAGGTGAAGGAAGGGGGTAACAACCTAAACTACACAGCCTTAGCAGCTATGTTGGCTTGTTATGTTTTTTTTAAACATTGTACCCATATTTCAATTAGAAATGGAGCCAAAAATGACAGCAGCGAGTAACTCTGTAAATGACTTGGATGTACGCATACTGTACTGGCACTTCTCTTCTTTCTACCCCTTCCTTCCCCGCGTTGATGCCTGTATGATCAAATTAACAAAAATATTTGAAACTTACGTACGTACATTCAGAAAGTTTCATCAATCTTTTTTCGAAACTATTATGAGTAGAAGCTTTTGTACATTCGTTGATTCGTTACCGTATTTTAATAATAAAAAAAACACGGAGATTTAACAGATCATAATTAATGGAGATTTGCATCAAAAGTATTTTTTTCTGGAGACCCATACGTTTTGGTTTTGGTTTTGTTTTTTATTAACTTATGACAGTAATTTTTTGTCATAATCATCACCGAATCGTCTTACAAATGTTAGAGGACTCAAAAGCTGCTTCTTCTTCTTTTTTAAAATTACGTCACATTCCTGCTATCTGGTTTCGATACCTGCGTGGGCAGAGCACAGGTAGCATATTGTATAGCTTTGCGCTTAACAACAGACCTTCTACCGGGGATCTTTGGCCCGAAAAACTGAAGCTTTGTTAAAATATGAGAAATGAGAAAGAAAACCCGTAGAGACGAAATTTTCGCGCTCATATTAAAAAGTGAGGCAGAAAAATTGGAATGTCTAAAGTGCTACGCTCTTGTTAGAATATCGTCGATATAACAGAAGGATTTAGTATTATTTATTAAGTTTTATTATTTCGTTATCTTCCTCTTTTTTTCTGTTTTTAAATGCCACGAGTAAAAAAAAATGTACAGTTGAAAATGATGGATATACTCGGCGTAAACAGTTAATAAGTTAATTTAAGACCTTAATGTGATAGAACTATATTAGCAATAGATGGCGCTGAAAGACTAGTTTACTTTTTGTTGCTTGTAATTTACCTGTCGTTTCATATATTTCTGTTCATCGAAGCATTGTAGTCAGAAGATTAACATACCGTAGGGATGAAAATCTTTTGCTGGCTGATTCAAATTATTTCGTTATTAATTCTTTTTTAATATAATTTATGCAATAACTCTTTTTTTTTATATTCACAATGCACATGTTGACATTGCATAAAACCAGAAACGAGTTCTGTTTTGTGTTTTAACAGGAATGTGAAACTGACAGATAAAATACGAGTTCTGTAAGGTAGATCGGAAAAATTAATGTCTGGTCACCAAGGGTTCGATTGCCCCGGTGAACAGAGTGAATTGTGTGGCTTTGTGCTGAAAACAACAACAGTTGTTTATTTGTTTGTAGTTCTGTAAAAGATGCTTCTGTGTGGTTGTATAGGTACAATAAAATAGATAAGAAAAACAGGACATGGTCAATCAATAAGTTCCATTAATCAATATTTCAATTATTATTGATTGTTATAATAGATTCTTAAATATTTCTTTATAGCGGAACCCGGTACTTTCGTTCGTACAAACCACCTCGCAAGGCCCAGGTTAAAGAAATACATCACCCTAATCAAACTGCAACCGTGAAAGTTATTACACCAGATGGCGTCACTTTAGTAGAAAATGTTGACCGCTGTGCCACCTCACGAGAAGACATTCAGTTACCGCCACCGCCGCCGGAAATCCCCCCTCGGCGGGTCAATAAACAGCCATCTCCACCTAACCAGCGACCGTCTAGGCCCCCACCACCCCCACCCCCACAAGAAACAGCTAGTAAAACAGAGCATGATATAGAAGACGTGGAGTTGAGGCGTCTCCACGAAGAAATAGTTTGCCGAACCACATCCACTAATGTCCAGAACGAAACCGTGTATAAAACCTCCGTTATAGAAGAGGGTGCCTCCGCATGCTCCAGTCCCGATCTTCCTCTACCACCCCCTCCAGCGACGACAGATACAGAAGTACATCTCACCGATGAGCCTCTTCCTCCACCCCCTGATCCGCAAGAAGTGGATCTGTCCACTGCTAGACAGATGCCACAAACCTTAGGGTGAGTATCTCAAGCATTGTATAATTCTTTCAGAAAGGCACACTAGACTTATTTCGTTAGAAATCGCTGGTGATTCTGTAGGAGGAAGAAATATTTATATAAGAAACTTTCCACTTAATTTCAGTGTATGTGATTGTTAGTATTCAAATACCAGGAATGTCACATTAATTTCAGTGTATTTGTACTTAGTTTTATTTTCAGTGTATCTGTACTCATTGTAATTATTTTTACTTTCAGGGTATTTGTAGGTAGTTTTATTTTCGATGTATATACACGCTTTGTAATGTGTTTTACTTTGAGTGTGTATACTTTATATTTTTTTTCGTACTTCGATCTGTAGATTTCACCATTATTGATATATTACACGTATAGTACAATACGTCAAAGAAGGGTTATTGGAAGCGTACCTCTATTTGTGGATTTCCTCATTGTTAATATTCCACCCTAATCACAAATTTACAGAAATGATCACACGAAATAATTTGTTGTTTGTTTGTTGTTGTTTTTTTTCACGAAAATTTTCCGAAACATTGGCTGAGTAATGTAAATGTAAAAAAGTAAACTGAGGCTAACATTTCCTAAAACCTCGGACCACTGTCCACTTCTTCAGCCTCCAATGGGTATAATGCTGTGAAATGTGGTGAATATGGACTTTGTAACATTAATGGCGGCAGTATAACATTTTGTTCTGGATAACTTAAAGTTTAATGTACTGTTTATTGGACGTGATAACTAGTTTACATGAATTTCACCCTAAGTCATCTTATTTTGCAGTTAGGGAGGCGCGACTAGCAGAAATTTTACCAATCAACACTTGTTTCTGATTTTTACGCAACATCTGCTCCCTAGCGGCTTGCAGAGTTTCGATACACGTCGTGGGCAGAACATAGACAGCCCATTGTGTAGCTTTGCGTTAAATAACAAACAAAGACGAATATTACCATATAGCTTTAGTACCTCACTGACCATCCCTCAGTGGCTCAGTGCTAAAAATTGGGTTTTGATCCCCTTCCTGGGCAAAGCGCGGATAGCCCATTGCTTAGCTTTGCACTCAACAACAACCAAACCAAAGGCGACTTCTCAAGTCATTTTGAAAATACCAAAAAATATTATATCTTGAGTTGTTTCTAAGGGTTATGATCGTAAATATAAAATGATTAGTAGTTGTTTGTAGTTAAGCACAAAGCTACACAATGGGCTATATGTACTGGGCCCACCACGGGTATCGAAAACCGTTTTATAGCGTCACAACCCTTCCGACTTACCTTTGACCAACAGTTGCAAAAGTTAAATCATATGTAAAGATTCTGTGAACATTTTAGGAGCTGCTTCTGGGATGTTGACACTTTTTTTTCCAATTAGCCCTATTGTTAAAACTGGAGAAAGTCCAAGGGAACGGGAGCCAGTTGTGGCATTCTCGTTTTAATTTAGGTTTGATTACGTGCCCTTGCCTCAAGTAGTATCTTTATATGATTACTATTTAAGAAGATTAAATCCTCATTATATACGGCACAGTATTTATTGGACTTTTTTTTTCCAGCATGACGGGAAATGATAAGTAGCCTGATAATTTAAAATCATCTTTAATATCAGGATTATTATTATTTTATTTTTTGATTCGTTTTGTATTGAAATATTTATAAAATAAAGCATAATTACCACATATTTCATTTTCTGGCATTTTTGTCTTCAATGAATCTGGCTAATTAAGTGCCATGCTTGGTTTGAGCATCGGCTAGAAACACGACTCCCGGTGTGGCCTTGTCTCTCGGTGTTTTATTAGAATGACGAACAGGTAGCCAGTGTTTGTAGAAGCAAAGTGTAGAGTTGTTGTGTGGAAAGTAGAATATATATAAAACACTGGGACGAGTGCTGTGATGTCACTGTGTCCAGCGCTAGCAGCACCCGTCACGCCCCCCAGTGGCAGAGCGGTATGTCTGCGGACTTACAACGCTAGAATCCGGGTTTCGATACCCGTGGTGGGCAGAGCACAGATAGCCCATTGTGTAGCTTTGTGCTTAATTACAAACAAACAAAGCACCCGTCACTTGAAACCTGGTTTAATGGCGAGATGTTCTAAACGTAATAGTATAATCAAAATAAATATATAAAATATATAAAAAAATCTATTGATAGTATTAAGACCTGTTTTAATTTGTCATTGGATTTGTATGAATGACAAGGTTACTACGACTGTCTACCTCCACCCCAAATTTTGAACTACTGACCAGAAGGAAGGCAGCCAGTTAGCATCACACTACCGCTCACCATACACGCTAAGGGATTGAGTGTCACTCTTATAACGCACTCACATGATACAGGCTATTTTTCTAAACCATATTACACTTCATACTTAAAACCGATTTCTAACAAAGCAACATTGCTTTTATTTCCCCCCCCCCCCTTCAACAATACAATATTTTTGATTTAAATATAATGCGTGTCAGTGTGCAGGATGTTGTGGGTATCGATGTATATTGTCCAAAACAGATTATATTTCCAGTAGCTGTAGTTAGGGATAAGCTGATTTAGAATTACGGAAAAGGTTATTGAATATTTTCTGTAACAGATTTTTTTTTTTAACCACCCTGCACCATTCCCCAACGTTCCCGAATAAAATTTACGATTCTCAAAGTGGCTCTGGTTTGAGTTTCGAAAGATAACAATTTAAGCATTACTGTGGCTACTATTTGAGGCTGAAGTAAGGTAATATGTAGACTATATCTATCATGCATCAAATTTTCATTGCATCATCACATAAGATGTTTACTTTTAGAAGCGTTTGCCCTAACTATATGACAAGACGATGTGAACGTGGACGCGGTTTTACATCACGTATGTCGTTCCTTTCTGTAGGGTGAGGTACGTCAATATTTGTGAAAAGGTCTTCATGTACAGATATGTATTTCAACAAGTTAACTGATTGGGCTCTGTACTTGTGTTTACTGTAATCTTGGCGTTAGAAGTTTATACATATTGCCCCCTGACACGTAAACAATGTCGAGTTTAGGCTTAAGAAGTCTGTGAAGGTTTGTGCTCGACCAAAAATGGAAGTTTCAACAATACTAAGAATAAATTCGCATTGACGAAGAAGGAAATGATTTCCAGTCTTAACAGTTGAAGGGAATGAAATATTGTTGTGCCATAAATAAATTAAACAAGTCTTAACAGTTGAAGGGAAGGAACTATTGTTGTGCCATAAATAAATTAAACAAGTCTTAACAGTTGAAGGGAAGGAAGTATTGTTGTGCCATAAATAAATTAAACAAGTCTTAACAGTTGAAGGGAAGGAAATATTGTTGTGCCATAAATAAATTAAACAAGTCTTAACAGTTGAAGGAAAAGAAGTATTGTTGTGCCATAAATAAATTAAACAAGTCTTAACAGTTGAAGGGAAGGAAGTATTGTTGTGCCATAAATAAATTAAACATATAGAATCTGTTAGCTGATTGTCTGGATCTGTTCATGTCAAAATATATGTTCTTAGAATTTATAAGTGAAAGCAAAGAAGATTATGTTGTAACTACCCAGTGCTGATGAGGCCTTTCGTTCAATACCAGAGCTCAACAGGCAAGCAGTGATACGATAAATATAGTAGTAGTACAGGCGCTAATTATATCATCCGTTTTCATGAACAACGATTGTTATTGTATGAACCAGATTAAGTAAATGAATTATGACTGTTATAGTTTTTAATTAAGTCATCTTTATTATGATAAACTAATCCTCATAATTATCACAGAAATTCTCATTCCATATCGATTAACTAATCCTCGTAATTATCACAGAAATTCTCATTCCATATCGATTAACTAATTCTCGTAATTATCACAGAAATCCTCATTCCATATCGATTAACTAATCCTCGTAATTATCACAGAAATTCTCATTCCATATCGATTAATTAATCCTCATAATTATCACAGAAATCCTCATTCCATATCGATTAACTAATCCTCGTAATTATCACAGAAATCCTCATTCCATATCGATTAACTAATCCTTGTAATTATCACAGAAATTCTAATTCCATATCGATTAACTAATCCTTGTAATTATCACAGAAATTCTAATTCCATATCGATTAACTAATCCTTGTAATTATCACAGAAATCCTCATTCCATATCGATTAACTAATCCTTGTAATTATCACAGAAATTCTAATTCCATATCGATTAACTAATCCTTGTAATTATCTTGGAAATCCTCATTCCATATCGATTAACTAATCCTCGTAATTATCACAGAAATCCTCATTCCATATCGATTAACTAATCCTCATAATTATCACAGAAATTCTAATTCCATATCGAATAATTCTGTTACTATCCCCTTTATATACATACAGAAAAAATTATTAAACCCTTAAAAATAATAATTCCTAAGTTAAAAGTGGTGGAGCAAGAAACTTGTAGTAAAGTAAGGTCAACAGGGGGCGTTTTTTTTGTTGCATGTCTAAAAATATTTAATGCAGAAATATGTATATATATATATATATAACTTGATAAGTTAAATCCTACGCTGATGTTTAGGGTTAAACCAGCTTCATTTTAAGAGAAAATTATTAATGGTTTCTTTTCCTCCAAAAGTGTTTAAATATAGTTTTATTTTCTCTGATCATAATGACTTTGAAGTCACTCAAGCTACTAAGAAAACAAAAAAAGGAACCGTATATTATTAGGATTCTTCAAAGCTAGCGAGAGAAGGAGAAAATTTTGGCAGCCGATGTGGTATTTGAACTTGAAGAGGTACTTCACATACAGGCCAGCTGCTCTCCCGTGGACGAATACTGCCAGCTTAGACTTTCGTAAGATTACCCACCTATCCATTGTGATGTGAGGGTGGGGTAAATACCTCATTATTGCATTCTTTTTGCCGCGAAACTTAGTACTTTTAACGGTGTACCACGCTGGCTATGCCGAGTCGGTGGATCTGCTGCCACGTGTAATGTAGTGATGTTGGTCAGCTTGATTCGATTGAAGTTACTCGTTTTAAGCTGACGTTGTTCTTGGCTCTCAAATTTCAGATTCCGTACGTATTGGCGTCTGGTATTTAAAGATAAATTCTTCTTCTAAAGAGATATCGGAACGCCCTCTGTCAGGGGAATGAGCAACTACGTGGGTGAGAGTGGGAATGGCGTCATACAGCTGTTAGAAAAGGCGAGCTGGAAATTATTTTGTTGTAGCTTTACGTTTACGTCTATGTTGATGGTTGCCAGGCAACTGTCTGTGTTCTGTTTTTACAATATGTATGAATAGTGAACAAGGGAAGGGTCTAGAGAACTTTTGAAAAAGTTCTATGATAATGAGAGAGTTGTAATATGTGTGAATAGTCGAACACGGGAAGGGTCTAGAGAACTTTTGGAAAAGTTCTATGATAATGAGAGAGTTTTAATATGTGTGAATAGTGAACACGGGAAGGGTCTAGAGAACTTTTGGAAAAGTTCTATGATAATGAGAGAGTTGTAATATGTGTGAATAGTGAACACGGGAAGGGTCTAGAGAACTTTTGGAAAAGTTCTATGATAATGAGAGAGTTGTAATATGTGTGAATAGTGAACACGGGAAGGGTCTAGAGAACTTTTGGAAAAGTTCTATGATAATGAGAGAGTTGTAATATGTGTGAATAGTGAACACGGGAAGGGTCTAGAGAACTTTTGGAAAAGTTCTATGATAATGAGAGAGTTGTACATTATTTGAACAGATAATTATAAGATAACTTTAAATTGTAATGATCTTCAATTAGTATTGATCTTCAAGATAATAACAATAATAAACCAGTAATAACGATCCTGAAGTAGTAATGATCTTTAGGTAATTATCATTCTTCAAGTAGTAATGATCCTCAAGTGGTCATATTCTTCGGGTAATTATGATCCTTCAAATAATAGTAATATTCAGTGTAATAACGATCCTGAAGTAGTAATAATCTTTAGGTAATTATCATTCTTCAAGTTATAATGATTCTCAAGTGGTCATATTCTTCGGATAATTATGATCCTTCAAATAATAATAATATTCAGTGTAATAACGATCCTGAAGTAGTAATGATCTTTAGGTAATTACCATTCTTCAAGTAGTAATGATCTTTAGGTAATTACCATTCTTCAAGTAGTAATGATCTTTAGGTAATTATGGTCCTTCAAATAATAATAATATTCAGTGTAATAACGATCCTGAAGTAGTAATAATCTTTAGGTAATTATGGTCCTTCAAATAATAACAATAATCAGTGTAATAACGATCCACGAGGGAGATGTTATTTATGTAATAATGATATTCAAGGTAATATGATCTGTCAAGTGGTAACTTTCTTCAGATAACTATGATCTTTCGAGTAATAATGATCTTCGTGTAGTAATTATTATTGAACGTTACAATATAGCAGGGAGAAAAAGTAAATAACGCAGTTGAGTTGGGAGTATAAGGTTTGGGTTCTTTTTAACAAAACAAATGTTATTAGCTGACGATTTATAGCTCGTTGAGTTCACCTATTCTCTTTTGTTTTCATAGTGTTTATCCCAAGAACTCGTACATGTCGTATAGAAGCGAGCGAAAGTTGGGAAGGCAAGTATTTGATGGTAAGTACTGGAGATCATCTTTGAATACTGGATCACGTGACTCCATCTCTACAACCCCGCAAGATAGTCAGAGTCGAGTGTCTCCTGCCTCTTGGGAGAAGCTTCACAACATTAGGAGACAAGGTACCACACTCATTTTCCACTCCAACTCCATGCGAGGTCGCACTTCGTCGGACAGTAAGTCAAATCTCGACCGGGGAGTTGGAGCTATTAAGTCCAATCCGGAGCACAAGTCTCCTATGGTTCCAGCTCCAACCTCTCAGACGATAGATACCATTGCTCCAACAAGTGTGTGTAATCAGCTGGTGACCTCGGATCCCATCAACCGCGTGTCGTCCATTTGTGTATCAGTTGGACAAGATCCTCAGCGTGGATCTCCTAGTCATAATCCATCTCATACAGAAAAAATATCCTCTTTCCTCTCTCTGGAAGATGACCAGAAAGTCGACTCCTCAGTTACCAGTCTCTGTCCTTCTCTATATTCTTCAGAGGTGTCGGTTCACTATCCTCAACTTCTAGAAGTAGAGAAACAACTTAACCCTAATGTGAACGGGCAGCTCGATGAAGAACTACCCACCACACATAACATAACCCGTACCGAAGCAATAAAAAGAAATGAAGCGTTGTCGGAAGATAGGTCAAGCGAGGTAAACCCAGTGCAGCAAATTCTTACTGACCAGCATCGTGGTCTGCAACCAAACAGTTTGGTCGGCAACGGTGGACAAATACCAGTCAGTACAATAAACTGTGCGACCCAGACTACGGACACTCCGAGACTTGGGCGAAGATACAAGACGAAGGAGGAGATAGAGTGTGAACGACTCTCTAAAGATTTCGTCAACCACTGTGACGACACCATGCTTATACATCTACTAGGTAAGCTTGTTTCGTTACTTCTTTATCAGACTACATACAGTTTCGAACAATCGAAGTATATGTGTATTTGGACATTCATGTGTTACTGATCGTATTATACATTCATGTGTTACTGATCGTATTATACGAGCTGTTTGTATATTCTTTACAGAACTGGAAACTATATTTCGAATTTTTATATTAACAATTACAAACATTATTCAGCCCACTTCGAACAGATGGGTGCTTTTGAACAAAGGATACAAGCCTTTTTTTTTCACTCATCACGGTCTCTCATAGACCGCACATTCACTGCTTTATGCGTCATTGTGGGTATAAGATGCTCATTTATCTGCGCAGTACGTTCACATCTGTTTGTTTATTGGCAATGGAAGCAGCTGTCACCATGATGCGCGTCTACTCAGGTATAAGTATGGCAAACATGGCTCAACTTAGCTATGGAAGTTAAAGCTTGAAACGTGAGTTTGACCTTTGTACAGTATTGGTTGTGGTTATTGATGTAAACGCTTAACTTTTTACCCGTTAGCATGTTTATTAACTATTGAGATGAACATGTTGTTTTCCAATCACGTGGCCTCAAAACTGAAAATTACGTCATTTTACAAAATAAAAACACGCAAATCACTAGATTACCGTTCGTTACATGCATTGAACTGTCGTGTCTTGCAGTTGTATTTAGGCTTAGCTGCTACACAACGGTAGTCGTAACATGTATTGAACTGTCATGTCTTGCAGTTGTATTTAGGCTTAGCTGCTACACAACGGTAGTCGAAAGCTTATTACAGAAAATAAACCAGTAGCGTGTAGAAACCCCATTTTGTTGTATTTATTGTGTTTTATTATTTATGGATATACATTGTGAGTTTCAAAGAATGTTACCCTAGACTGTATCTAACATATTAGCATTATGTACAAGTGTGGGCGCCCGCAGAGATTTTTTACGGGGGGGGGGGGGTAGTGTGAGATTGTGAAACGAATAAATTATATATATATATATATATATATAT